CAATATATCCATTGATTGTATATGTTATATTGTTTGTGTGCTCATTAGTTTCTGCATATATTCGTGTGAATTGATGCCTGAACCTTTTATTTAGTTTTCCCCCTTGTTTTTTGCATGCACACATTTCAATTAATGTGCACGATCGGTGACAAATTCCTTTTTACCTTTAGAGAGTCCAGTAGGCAAAGTATTGACTATCGAGAATAGAAAGAGTAAAAAAGGGACAGATACAATTTGCCTTGGCACTATTTCTCCAAACCAAGATAACAAACTTGCTGATACTTCTGTCACTTTCGTAAGCTGTGGGGGTTCTGGAGAGTTGATGAATTGCAGTGATCTATCTACTCCCCGTTTTAATGTCACTGAGATGCAGATTGATGATCGTATTAGTGTCCCCGAATTCCCCAATATTAGTGAACATAGTGGCGAATGCCTTCCTAATCTCGCTATTGCTTTGAATCTACGGTCAAATCTGGATCGACTTCACGAAAACAGCCATTCGAACTGCCATTGCTTGACAGGTCTTTGGCGGCCTGGTTCAGGCATTTCATCTGGATTTGTGCCAGGAATCTTTGGCATCAGTTCCCCTGGCAGCCGCAGTTGCTATCAGCTATCAGATGCCCCTCACAACCTTCAGGCTTCACTAGCTTCAGAAGAATCCTTAGTCCAAAACGGCTCTCTGTTTTTTGCACCGTCGCAAGCCTCTTTGGTTTCGGACAGAGTCTTAGAGACCGCTTCTACTGGCGCTCTTGTTTCGGCATGGCCCCTCGATGCTTCTGCTTTCCGGCAATCTCTCGACCTTGGCGGTGGCACTAATGGCCATCCGAATCAGAGGACCTCTGGTTTGCGTGGTAGCGCATCTGGATTATACTATCCGGGTATAAGGACAAGTCCACTTGCTCCGATGCAGATGCCTTGGCTTCCCGTGGTTTCTCATTTCACCGGAAATCAACAATTTCGTGGAATGACTCAAGTATTGTGGCCGACCGTGACAACTACGGTACAGCAGCCTTTGGCATTGGGTGGGCATGTCTTTCGCTATCTACCACATTCTGGGTCTCAGCAACATTACTTTCAGAGTCAATGGGAGTTGCGTCGCTCCGGCAGCGGACACCGCCGCCTTCGCCGGCAAAAAGCTGCAGCTGCTCGAGCCTTCCAGCAATGTAAGTTGAACAATCAGCCAAGATGTGCTCAACTCGACGCACTGCCAATTGGGCAATCAAAGTCAGGTGTTAGCTGTCGCATGACTATCGGACAGACCAGTTCCGTCAATGCTACGAATGGTGAGGTGCTTACTGCTGCTGGATCAGATTCTACTGGCTTCTCTAGTCTACTCGACGAAATTCCTTTGTTAACTCCTACAAGATCTGACTTTCGACCAGCTTCTGTCCATTTGATGAGCTTTCAACGAAACGATGGTAGCGGTGCTAATTTTTCGTCCCATTTGATTCAGCGTCCTTCACCTGATGTGAGGACATTAGATGATCGCAACATACAGATCAGTGGTACGTTACTTGTATCTTACACATGGTGAAACAAATGAGAAGCATTCTCGATGGCAGGCGCTTAATTAATAATTATTGTGCGTCTGTGGGCGTGTGATGTACCTTCTTCTACATCTATGCTTACGCGTGGCCACGACCGTGTATGCATAGGCATATGAAAACTTTTGCTGTGTCTAAATCTATGTTTACTCACATTTATT